ATTTTTATATTCTTCCAGTTGGCTTTTATGAAAAATCAAGCTATTTTTTTGAACTAATTGGAAATAAATAATTATTTATATATATTAACTTGAAGTAAATTTTCTGAATTTAACTTTTTTTTGTGTGGTAATATATACCTTTCTGATTTTTAAATCATGAATTAATAAATATTCAAAATCTGCATATGTTTTCATTTTCTAATTTTAAACTAAAAATTAAACAATTCTTGTTAATCATGAATTTATGTCTATACAGCAGTAACTACAAAGATTATTGCTTATAGAAATTTTACAAGACTCAATGGATGTGGCCTAGGTATTCAATGTTTCTTTTCCTGGACTATGCTTGTCATAGGATTATCTTCTTGTTGGGAATATAAATAATTAATGATGATTACGTTTATGGATCCTTCGGTTCCTCTTTCACTTGGGTCTTTAATCATATATATCACCTTCATCGCACAGAGAATTTTGTTATACAAAAGGAGTGGGAAGATATATTACATGCTACCTGCCAGGCACCTCGTAATTAGGCTCGGCAATGATCCTGACTTTTGGAGGTGGTACAAACCTGATCCCAGGTAGGCCTTTCTCTCTGACACACACAACACAACGCACACACTCATACCCACACCTACAACTAAAAGAATTCAAGCAAATAGACGCTTGATTGTTTAAGTCTCTTTCCCAGCCTAAAATATATAAATTTGTGATCATAAGAATATTTCTAATTCATGCTTACAAACAGGTTCCCTGAGGTTGCAGAGCTTCTTTCTGGTTGGGATTTTGTAATCCATGGAAGGATTAATACTCGCATGCTTTCTCCGAAAACACGTTATAAGGCTTACCTTGTGTTCAAGCTGAAGGACGACACTTATGGATTTAGAAATACACCTATAGAAGCTGCTGTTCTACTTGGAGGAGCTGAAGTTTCAAAGCGAGTAGTGTACGTGCAGGCAGAAAGTGGAATTGTAGGAAATGGTGATCAGTACCCGAAAGAGAGGGGAGATAATTGGTTTGAGGTAGAATTGGGTGCATTTGAATTCACCAAAGAAAGAGACGGAGATTTAGAAATACTTCTTGAGCGGAGACATTACGACGCTAAGGGCGGCGTCATCATTCAAGGCACGGAGATCAGGCCAAATTAGCAGGACATCACAGGATTCTCTTTCACCTTGTGTGTTTTATGTGTGGGAGGAACATTTCTCCTCGTGTTAAATTATGGTCAGTTCTATTGTTGTCTAAGCGTGGTCTCTTGATCTTTATTTGAACAATGTATGGCTAATTTGTGGAGTTAATTACTAAGTTTGGAGTGATTTAGAGTATTTGATTGTCTGAGAAAAGGAATGCTTTAAACTGGAATTTATGATTTTAATTCAGCTAGATTTAGTGTTGGTTTATGAAATATGAAGTTTGCATCAGTTTGGTCCATAATCTTAATTATTTTTTTTTCCTCTGCAGTCAAGAAACTAAAGAAATCGCACAAACTAGGTTATTATCGTTCATCATCTGTCAATTTGATAGGCGGAATTTCACGCAAGGGCTTATCAATTGCTCAAAACCCTGGAAGATGTTTTACAAACTTTAGATATCTTAGGAGAAACAAATGAAAATGGTTATTGCCACAAACCATATACGACAACTCTTCGTATGAACTTAAGACTTTTTTTTTTTTGGCCAACAAGCATGCTTATATATAGCCTAAATAAAAGATCCATACAAAAGTCTTGGACAAAGGACACGAACCAGAAGGGGAAAAATAGCACTTGAACAAAGCAGGAACAAAAACAAAACACCAAAACACCGTGATGAAATCCTGCAAAAAGGAGATGAGGACGGGGGAGCTCCTACCAGAAGCTGTACGTACTCCTAATAATTGGCTTTGTTTGAAGAACATATCATCTACTTCACCTTTAGTCATCTGAAATACAGCACCATAGAGAGGAACTAAGAAGTTGAGACTAGCTAGTTGTGCAAAGCAACACAGCACCTCCGAGGAGAGACCTCATACTAGTGAAACAGAGGAAAAAACCAAATTGAGCAGGGGTAGAGAGACCACAGTGGAGCAGTAGCATACAAGGAATCCATTTCTGCTTATGACGAAAACGAAAAGTGGAGGAAAAGAAAGGCCACCAGGGTAAGTATATGATGACATGGAAAGATAAAGATCTTGCTGCCATGCACCCATAGCTCTCCCAGCTGAGACACCCACTCCAAATTGCCCTAAAACAACTCCTTGCCACCATTAATCTCATGCCATCATCAAGTAGACAAGTAACCATATAACAAATATTTTTTCTTTTCTGAAAAGAACAACCTAAATCACCAAAATCCTTTGCAAAATAGCCAATCGCATATTTTAAACTATCCTCCAGGGATCCATAATCATCAATGTAGCCCTTCAAAACAATCTTCCCAATCTAGCTAGTCATAAGTATAAGAGCTATCGGATTGAGAATCTAAAACAAGACAGTTCTCCTACATACATCTGCCCCCAAAAGATCATACAAATTCATTTGCATCCATACTTCATATATGAAGAAACAATGTCCAAAATCGCAAAAACACATTTTCTCAATGAATAGAAATATTCCCAACAGCATCTTAGACAAAATACTAACAATTCTAACAGCATAACTCAAGGAAATTACCCCAGGCTCATGAAATAATATCCTGATTGCTACTAATTTATGGTTAATTGATAAATAACTCTTCAGAAATGATTTCCCTCTATGAAATTGAAACCACATAAACATCTGCAGAAACAGGTAAATAGAGGGAAAAAGAACCTGGAACACCAAGGAATGAATCCACATCGTCAGTATCCCTTTACACAATCCAGCTTTTTCAGTTGCCCAAATTTCCAAGGGAAGGACACCTAGGCTAACTCCGAGATTTACACTTTTCTGATAGGCCAACATGAGTTGGGAGGATTATGGACTTGAAATGAAACTTCAAATTACTGCAATCAAATGTCAATTGACCCCGATCAAAGTCTTTGGGATGAAGATACTCTTTTGGGGAAAGGGTCTGAGATGATCTCTGATTTGATTCAGAACCCAAATCCCACTGCAAACTGCTATAATCAGGGGCTCAAAGCATGAGATAGGAATTCTAGGGTTTATGATGAAGGTTGAAAAAGGAACAACACAGAAACTATTTTTGGGGTTTTGATACCAAAGGGACAACGAAGAAACATGATATGGAAGGCAATGAAAGAGGTGATAGCATATACAATGAAAGAGAAGAAAAACAATTGAAGTTAGAAGACTAACAGAGGCTGGGAACACCCAGCAGCGACTCCCATTCAGGATGCAGGCACCCTCATTTTTTGGGAGAGCGTGAGAGCCCTAGCACTTTGAACTTACAGCCTTGTTCACCTAATTAAATACTGAATTTAAGTCCTAAATTTGGTGGTTCTAACAATTTGAGTTATGGCAATAATCATTCCCATAAAAGAGTGTCGTTTTACCATTTGGGATTTATAATTAGGGGTGTTCATGGCTGGTTTGGTTCGATGTTTGATCATTTTCCCTACCAAAACAATCTAATCTTTCTTAATATATTACTGTATAAAAATTGTTAAATTCTCCAATAAATCTCGAATAAACACAATAAGTCTTTTAAAATTTTTAATAAATACCATATAAATACTAATGGGCCTTTAAAAATTTTCAATAAATATCAAATAAATGCCGAATGGGTCTTTAAAAATCCAAACTCAATAATATTTTCAATAGTAATCTTTCCATAAGCGTCTTCACTACTATATTTTCAATAATAATAATCTTTCCTTTTTAATACAATTCTACTTCAATTTGACTTTAACTACTTTAATTATATCTTTTTATCTTACTATATTATAAAAACTATTAAAATTTTCAATAAATCTCAAATAAATACACAATGTACCTTTTAAAATCTTCAATAAATAATTATAAATATAATTTTAATTTTAATTATCAAGACCTTAAATTGACTCGACAAATTGATTTGGCAAAAAAAAATTTTTTTTTTAAAAAAACACAAAAAATAACTTCTGTTTCTATACTTCAACAATTGATTGGGCAACTTCAATTCCAAATTAATTCTACAACTTGTTCAAGTCCAATATGCTATATTATAAAAATTATTAAAATCTTCAATAAATACCAAATAAATACCTTGAGTCTTTTAAAATCTTTCTAAAATCTCAAATAAATACTAAATGGAACTCTTAAAAAACTTCATTAAGAAACTTGAAACCTGATTAAATTATATTAATGCCCTTTCAAATTTCATGACGAGCACAATACATATAACTCCTTATTAGATTAATTCTCCACATAATAATACTTAATAATACTCTAATTATATCAAACTTCTCACTAATTTTTATTAAATTCCACTTTAATTATTATAAAATAATACGACTTTTACATCTAAGTATTTTTAAAGTTGAAAACAACTTATGTAAATATATAATCTGACTTCTATTTCAATTATATAATGTGTTTAGCGTAGATACAAATTATATTATATTCAAAGTGGCACTTTGCAAATTGATCCTTATTTACTCAATTATTCTTGGACTAAGGGAGTACTGACTAAGATGTAAATAATTCTAGATAAATGTATTTCTTAATAATGATTACTAAAATATCAAAAACTTTAAATAGCAACAAATTGTAGTATGTATAACGAATGTGTATCAACAATCACTTGATAATGACTACTATCAACTTATAAGACCAATTTAAAAAGTAGAGAATGAGTTCTAAATGAACCACCTAAGCATAAACAGGAAGTAAGAACATGTACAAGGAACCTAAAAATAAAAAAGGAACCTTTGCGAGAATAAAAAAAAAATGTTTTAACATTCTCTTTCTCTTTATCAAAAGTCTAAACTATATATCAAAAAATTATGAAAATGGAAAAGTAAAAGCCCTTACTGGCTTTCAATATATTCATTAAGAAAAAGAGAGAAAGATAGAAATTACGGTAAAAATGATATATGATAATAAATAAAGATGCAAGAAGTGACTAGGAAAGAATAATATGGAGGGAATAAGGATAAGAAGAGAAAAATTAATAACAAACAAATTATTAATATATATATATATAGAGAGAGAGAGAGAGAGAGAGATGATGAGGGCAAATGTTGAGTAAACAGATGAATATAAAATGTGAAAGAATACGCTAAGAAATGGAATCCCAAGAAAAATTAATGAAAGGTGAAGCATAGGTAAGTGAAAAAAGTATCAACACAGAAAAAATGGTGTAAAAAAACAGATATACTTTGATACATAAAAAATTTAAAGGAATAACTAAAAAAGAAGGATAGAGATGAGAGGATAATGAGAAAAAGAATAATGATGAATAACTTAGTAATATAAAGAGGGAAGAGGAGGGAGACAATGTAGGCTTTATATCTTTTATTGGTTAAAACTTATAACTTTGTGGATATGTTTATAAATTTATTGCAAATTAATACATTATTTGTGATTCACTGATATTTAAAATTATTGTAATCTTAAGAAAACAAAAAATATCCAATGATAGATAGAGAGAGAAAACTGGGTTAAAAAGATATATAATAATAGATGAAGATGCAAGGGGTAACTAAGTACGAATACTTTAGGTGAGGATAAAAAGAAATAATAATAACAAACAAATTATTAATGTAGAAGGGAAAGGGGCAGGCTTATCGAAAAAAAAAGAGGGAAAGGGCAGACATAGTTTAGAGCAAGAAAGGTGAGACGATAAATTAAAAGATGGTTTCACTGGAAAAATTAATAAGTGGGAGGACAAGGGGAGAAAAAATAACAACAAACAAATTGTTAATATATATATAGAGAGAGAGAGAGAGCAAGAAAGTGTGGCTGAATATGGGTAGATGGATAGGTATAATAATAAAATATGTGAGCTTAACGGTGTTGTAGGAAAAACTAATGAAGGTGGAGTACAAGTAAATGAAAAGATAACAAGAAAATAATGCTCATGGGTTATGTCTTTTATGTTTTGACCTGAAACCTCCTAATATAGGCATCTGAGAAAAAGGACACAAATTAGCCCCTCAACCTAAATCAGTAGCATACAACCCCCTAAACTCTTTGAAAGTGGCAAAAAAACCCCTTATCTGACACATTATAAAGCTTACCTTGTGTTCAAGGTAACAAAGACAGCTTATGGATTTGAGTACCAGCTTGTAGAGGTAAATGTTGGACTTGT